AGATCTGAACCCTGTTCTATCCTGTGCTATCCTCACACTTCCTGACACACGAGAGCTCGTTGCAGCAGTCACAGTGTCAATCCACCTAGTTGAGGGTCTTCCTCTCCTTCACCAATCCTCCACCCTTTTCAGCATCATCCTAGCAACATGCCCAAAGTATGTGAGGCAAAGCCTCATCATTCTTGCCTCCGAAAAGCACTCTGGCTGCACCCTTTCCAAGACATATCTGTTTGTTCTCCTGGCCCTCCATGGGATGTTCAGTGTTCTTCTCCTACACCATAGCTCAAGACATCAATTCTTTTACTGCAATCCTAGTCAGTTCTAATCCATAGACTCCCATTTGCCACACAACAGAGCACTTTTTAGGTCTGTTCCACCTTTTCATTGTTATGTTTGAAGCCATTGTCGGATCCATTGTCAATCCACCTCATGAAGGCATTCCTATTTTCACTGATTGTCTGCTTTACCAAGTCCTTTGCCAGAAACTGGTCTCTCCTGAGAAGACTTCCAAAGTATATGACATGAAGTCCCACCATCCTTGCTTCTAAGCAACATTCTAGCTAACTCTCCCAGGATAGATTTGTTTATTTTTCTGGCAGTCTACAGTATACTTAATACACTCGGGCAACACCATAATTCAAGTAAATCAGTCCTGTCTTTCCTATTGACTGTCCAGCATCCACATGAATATGCGGTACTTAAAAATACCATGACTTGAGTCAGGTATATCTTATTTCACAAGGTGAAGTATTTGCTTCTTAATACTTTGAAAAGATCTTTTGTAGCAGATTTATCGAGTTAAGTTAATAATTTGTTATTTTGGGTTGTTTAGTCTTTTGTTTTGTTTTGTTTTTCCCCCTGAACTGCTGCTTCTGTTGGTGTTGATTGCAGACCCAAATAAAATTAAATGCAGTCTTTTCATTGTTTATCATGATGTTGCTTATTCATCCAGTTATGAGGATTTTGGGGATTTGATTTTGTTTCATATTCAGATGTAATCTATATCGAAGAAAGGCTATAGTGTTTGATTAATAAATTCTTAAAGTCTTCTATCCTTTTTAGCAAATAAAGTTGTGTTGTCTGCATGTCACAGATTATTAATGAGTCTTTTTCTGATTCTGATTCCATATTCCTCTTCATATAGTACAGCTTCATTGATTATATCATACAGATTGACCAACTCTGATGAAAGTATTATTTTTTATTTAGCTTCATTCATTTTTTGAAAAAAATTTATACTGGTTTACATGCAAAGCTCATAAAATTTGTATACATTTCTCTTCACACATATCATTCCTCTTTACCCATGCCTCCCGCCACCCATAATTAAGGCCCCCAATACTCGTTCTACAATAGCCTGATACAGTATTCTTGACATACATCTTTCCTGACTTTTAGCCGTGTAATATCCCCTTTCTCTGTTCTAAGGACTACGCCTTTGTCTTGTATAGTTTCCATGCTAACACAACTAAATACGTTAGTATTCCCATTCTTCATAATGTTATCCAAAATTTGTAAAGACCCACAGAGTTGTATGCCTCTTCACAGTGAATAAAACACAATTAAACATTTCTCAGTTCATCCTTGTACATTCCATCTGTTGAGGTCTATTTCAGATACATTATATAAAAATAACATATGCCTAAATTGATTTACATATAATTGAACTCAGAAAAAAAATGAAGATTAGATAATAGATACATGAACTTAAAGAGCCTGCCATTCACTTTATTTAATGTAATATGTACAAATTGGACATTTAATCTCCTCAATTAGGACTAAAGGTACTATTCCAAAATGGACTAACATAATCCTTCTGAGTATAAGATTGTGAATAAACCTTCACTGTAACACATAAGGAAGAAGGTTTAGAAGCCATAATGGCCTTTGCTTGGATTTTAGCTTTATTTCTTACTACCTGTGCATCCTTGGAGAGAGCACTTGATTTCTGAACATTCACTTCTCCAGTTGAACAATAGAGATAATAACAGTAAACAAATCAGCAATGAGCAAAATACTTCTCTTACTGGTAACTGTGAAGGACTCTAGTAATGTCGTCCATAGCATGTTGCACTGCCAATCAAAAGGCTGTGCAGCTCTAGCTGTTCAAATCCACTTGCAGCTCCATGGGAGAAAGCTGGGCAGTCTCCTCTTGTTAAGATTTCCATCCTTAGAAACCTAGTGGAAGGTTACTGTGAGTCAGTATCGACTTGATAACAGCAAGTTTTTGTTGTTCTTTGGTCTTTTTCTAACTAAATAATAAGTAACAATAGCCTCCTTGAATCTATACAGTTGAAACTGAATGCTTCATAGGATAGACTTTATTGTCTGAGTTTGGGGCAATTTATTCATAGCCCAAGTTTCACAATGATGACAAATATTTTTGTCAATTAAGTTTACTTAAAAAGATACATAACATAGCATTGGGGGTCAGAATCAATGAGACTAGTTCAGGACAGGGCAGGCTTCAGAGTGGCTGTACATAGGGTCACAGGCAACTTGACAGCACATAGCAACAACAACAACAGCAACAACGACAACTATGTGCCAAACACTACTTTAAGCCACTTACAAATATCAACTCAATACTGTATAATAGCAGTGTTATAAAACAGGACTGAAGTGGGGTTGGAGGGAAACTAAGAAAGGAGGAGATAAATAGTCTACACAGCATTGAAACAGACAAGGGAGAGAACTGTAGAAAAGAAATATATGATTAGGTATTATTGGTATGACAAGAGTCCAGAATAAGAGCTTCATAGAAAAATGGTCTTGAGGGGAGGGTGCTGTATAACAATGAAAAAACTTTTTTCCTAAAGAAAAATGCTAACACGGGGGCGGGGAGGGAGGTCAGGGAGAAAAATGTGCAACGATGAATGAATGGAAATCCATGTTCTTATAAACACAATAAAATATCAATAAAAATTATGAACTCATTTCATCTTAATGCTATCTTCTTACAGATATCTGTAAATTCCTGGACCATTATAAAGCATACTTGCCCCTTAAAACCTACTATTATAAAGTTGTACAATCTGTGTGTGTGTGTGTGTGTGTGTGTGTGAAGGAAATGGAAGGATCTTCCATGAAAAACAATGTATTCAAACTTTGTAAATAAATCAGTATAAAATTTAAAAAAAGAGAAAAGAAAACCAAACCCTTTTATTATCATTTCTGTGTAGGAGATGAAAAAGGAAGGGAGCCACTTATGAAATAGCAGAGTGCCCTAACCAGGTAGTCAGGAACTAGGAACTCTTTCACTTGTTCTGCAGAAGAAACCCAGCCTGAGCCTTCTGTCTCCAGTCCTCTGGTGCCACCTGAAACTTCTTACCAGCTTCCCAGACATAACATTTAACTTGCAAAATGCTTCTGGCTTCCATTATTAACTCTGATGTAGAGTTATACTTTAAATATTTCACCTGAAGTAGCATTCACAAAAATGAGTAAAATGTGGTTGGGTTTGTTTGTTTAAACACAAGAGATCTTGCATACATTTGTATACATATGTTCATAATGTGTTTGTCTTGTGTTGTTGCTAAGACAGAGACTGTGTAAACTTATATAGTCTAAGGCTGCTAGAAACTAGAAATAGTATTTAAATTCTAAAGCCAAGGTAATACTGTCCTCTGATAGAGGCAAAGGAGCTTGCCATTAAATGCTGAAGCTGCAGAATGTTCAATCGTCCAGGGGATATTAAATGATGTGCGAAACGACAATATTGTCAGAAGTTCTATATACTTGAACTTGTGTTCAGCTCTCTAAAAACATCATGTAGTTAGAACCATAGTATCCACATCAGGATGGGAAAATGCATCTGTGACATTTTCCCACGATGATACTTTCGAATACAACCACATTTAAAAAGAAAAACTTATGCTCACTAAGCTCTTAGGTAGGTAAAAAAAATCCTGGATTCACCATTTGCAGTCATCTTCATTTATGAGAAATTATACAGTTTTAGTACCTTAAATAATTTGTTATCCAGTGAGATTTGAGAATAAATTATTTCAGATGAAAGTATTATAGAATTGGGAGAGCAGAGTTTTCCTATCCAAAAAAACCTATGAAAAATATGTCACAGATAAATTTTGAACATCTACTCTCTGCTTTAACATTGGGACTGCAGTTCTGTGGTGAGCAAGAAGCAATCATGTTGCTTCTCCTTACAGGTCTTACTGTCTGATAGAGGAGACAAGAGGTATTGATCAATTATATACATATATACAGTTGTCTTTCATACTGCAAGGGGGAAGGATACTCTTTGTGTGTGTGTGCGTGTGTGTGTAATATGTAGAATTCAATTGGTCTAAAAGGCTAATGGTACAACACTAGAATAGGGGTTGGAATAATTGTGCAATGATTATCAAAAACCTCAAAAAAGTACACACTCTTTGAGCCAACTTTTCTGCATTAAAGTGTATCCCCTAAAAGAACAATTTAGTGTGTGCTCAGTATTTTAATGAGTAAGGCAAGCCACTGTTTTTTACTTGCAAAATATAGGAAGCATCTTGAATATTTAACAGTGTAGTTCAACTTATTATGGCTTCACAAATTATATGGACCATCACTAGCCTTTTGAAATAATCTCAACATGATTTTACTGGCATGAAAAATGTTTCATGATAAAGAACAGGTTACATTATCGTTCTTAAATAGCTTTTGCTTTAACCTGATCCTGCCCTTTCTAGTTATTCAATTTAAAATATTTTATTTCAAGTGTAATATTAGTAATAGTGACAGAAATAGCCACCAATCTTGGCTACAATTTAGCATTTGCCAAGTCCTAGGCTAAATAATTTATTTCCATTATTTAATTGATCTGCTTTAAGCCAGTTAAAAAGTACTGCTAAACTGATATCTTTTTGTTTATTGGATGTTTTAAAATTCTCAACACAGATATATTTTCTTAGGCAACAAAAAACGGATTGTATTCAGTGCTTACGTTGTGTCCCATGTTTCTATTTCATCTAAGCAAAGTTCCTGTTTCTTTTCTGTCACAGCATTCTGTGAAGAAGGCTGCAGAAACGGTGGAACGTGTGTGACTCCCAACAAATGTGTCTGTCCCCCTGGATTCACGGGAAGCCACTGTGAGAAAGGTAATGGCTGGAAGTACTGAAAATAACCTGGACTTGTTTGCTTGTTTGAGAAGCTTGAGGAAAAGGTCAGAAGAGAGAGGGAGAAAGAGGCAGAAAGACAGAATAACAGAGATTAGCTCTTGATCTGAGAATAAAATATGAGTTGACTTGATACATTGTGTTTTCATGGTGGATGTGGCTTTTTCTAAAGTGGACATCTTTTAACAACTGCATAATAAGTAGCTCTGGAAATAGAGCTTCATTTGCCCTCCTGCCAACGTGTCTAATTTAGCAAGGTCGAATCTTTTCTTTGCTGCAGTTTGCAGCATGCGTTTTTACAGTTAATTAGTGATAAAGCCTGATGAACTGACCTGCCCCACTTATCATCTACTGGGTAGCGTCACACACGGCGGTTGAAGTTATAACAATCTGCTGCGTCGGCAGAATCTAAATTAGCAGCACATGCTCCTTGTGTGAAAGCACATTAAATAACTCTAGGTTTATTGGAGTGCTCGGGACTTTATTCTAATGTGGGTTTATTAGGACCATTATCATTCATGGACCTGGTAATAATAAACCAATTAGTACTGGTAAGATCTCATTATGTGCACTTTTCTATTTACAATGAATGTCGTATTTACACTTGGTGGTATTTGATGAGGTCCAGTGCTCTGATTTCCTGAAAAAGTTCTTCTGCCTATGTGCAAATGAAATTTGATGTTTATTACCAATGGATGTATTAATGTAAGCAGGAGGTGTTATGAAATGTAAAAATGAATATGCTGTCTCCCTTTATTTCTCTATGAGTTTTATCAGGCAAAACCCACTACCTTGTGCTTATCTGAGTGTGGCTGTTCCTCACAGAATAGCATAGAACAGTAGATATATAACACTGTAGTTAGTTTTTTTAAATAAAATTATTATTTTATAGTGCATTACTAATACTGTAAATTATCCCTATTATTACGTGAGGGAAAAGGTGTTCTTCTATGATGCTAAAGACTTAAAGTTCTTGTTTATTGACCTAGATCATAAATTTTAAAATTAGCTCATTCATTATACCCCATCTAGTCTTACCCTTTTAAAAGCATGTCAAAACTTAACAACCTAAATTACTCAACAAGGAACCTAATAAATGCTGCTTGCTCTGTTGTTTTCATGTTACCAACAAATCAAATCACTTATTTATATCATTTATTAAGCAACAATGGATTGCTATGTCCTAAAAAATGATGTATAAAACTCTCAAAGACTGCCGTCTCTGAGAAGCATGATAGAATTTGCACAGAACTAAAGAAACATTGTCAAGGGGCAGGGGGAGTCACCAAAAAACATGCCACCAAAAAAACCCCCAAAAAACAAAAGAACAACTTAATGTTGATTCGCCACACATGTCCTTTTAGCAGTACATTTTCTTTGAATTGTGGTTGTTGTTATGTGCTGTTGAGTCGCTTGCACTCATAGTGACCCTATATAAAACAGCCCTAAACCCTGCTCTATCCTGTGCCAATCACACTGCCTCTGACACACCCATCCCGATCACCCCAGTCACTGCATCAGTCCACCTCCCAGAGGGCCTTCCCCTCCTGTGCTGTCCCTCCACCCTACCAAGCATGACATCCCTCTCCAAGGACTTGTCCCTCCTTACGACATGTCTCAGTTATGTCAGAGGAAGCCCCAGTATCCTTGCCTCCATGGAGCAGCCTGTTTTAACCCTCTCCAGGATGAATCTGTTGTTTTCTTGGCAGTCCATGGTGCAAAAAGACTCTCATTACTTCCTCCTAAAATGCTATGATTCCCTATGAATTCATATGAATTAATGGGAATAGAATGGTCATGAGGATAGTGATGAAAATGGTTACTACCACTAATGATACACCATTACTCATATACTAATTATGTGTCAGGCTTTTCAAATGAATAGTTGACTGCTGAGGGAAAACCAAAGAGTTGTTATCACTCCCATTTTAGCGATGGTAAGCTTTTAAAGCTTTACTAGTTTAAAGCACTTCTGCAATGCCACAAAAGCAGTCATAGTAGAACTAAGACTAGAACTCCAGTTGCAGTCCTCAAAGTTTGTAGCATCAACTCTTGCCTATGTTTCTCATGGGATGTTGTTGTTGTTGTTCAGTGTTGTCGAATTGTAGACGACTCATAGAAACTCTATGAACAAACGGCCTGAGCACTATTCGTACAGAGTTTCCAGAGGCAAGCCATTTTGGAAGTGGATGCCGCTCCTGCTTTCCAGGCTTGTTTTAGTTGGGAAGCTCCAGCCAACACTGTCCACCATGAGTACCCATTACCACGACTGGCACATCACTGTCACAGTCTTCAGCATCACAGCAAAGCTCTTAGGCTTTCTAAAATATAAAGAACTGGTGAGGGACAAGGTTGCCATTGAACTTAGCCCAGACAGTAGCAGCAGTGGTAATATTGATTATGATTTCTGATAGTTTCTTGATTTGTGCTTTGTAATTTTTTTTCATGCTCAATCAAGGGTTACTTGATCCCTTAATTATGTTGTGGTGCATTTTGAGAACCAAGAAAAATATAAAGGAGAAAATGAAGACTAGAGGCAAAAGAAACAGATATGTAGGCAGGCATTGTATAACAGCACTGCTTTTTAATCTCTACTTATTAGAAGCAAACATACAAAACAGGTTTTTTCCATGTGATCCATTCACCCATCTGTAGTAGTCATTCCATTTCATAATAATCATTCTTCTAATTCTGTGTGTTTTTCATGCAAAAGGATAGAGTATAGATTTTTCTGATAAATTGTGAAAAAGAGATTGGGATGAACTCTAGAACAGACACTTTGGAAATCTGTGCCTTATTTGATGAAATGATTTTTGTCATTTTGATCATTAGTAATAAACATAAAGCAAATCAATTTTCCAAGTGATGCTAGAGAGCTTCTGGTTGAGGTTCCAAAAGAAAAAAATGCAAATGTGTGACAAGGGTCTTGTAGTATGATTGCATAAACTCTCTGTTTTGGTTTATTTCAATCTCAGGACTAACTAAAATCCCATTTGAACTATATGGAATCCACCCAGATAGAGCCTTAAACCTGTCTTCCTGCCTCTCTCCTTGTTATTGTTTTTATTCATTGCTTATGATATCTGGCATTTCAGATTACAAAAGCACTTAGCTAAATCATTTATTAAATAACATGACTATCTGAATGCAGTAAGTTTAAAAATATCACTCATATTTGTTGTGTAACACAAAAGTGAACAATTCTGAATCTATTTTCCATTGAGGAGATTTGAAAAAACTTGAACTTTCCATAATCCTACTCAGTATAAACAGATGTTTGTCTTCCTTTGTTTCTGGATAGCACATTATCTTGGTTCCTCTCTTACCCTTTACTCTTCCTCTGTCTCTTTAGCTTTGATTATCCACTTGTCTCAATCCGTGCCTGTCTCCATGACAATGACAGTGGATAGCTAACAGAAGTAGTCTTGCTACTCTCAATAGAATGGAAAAGGCTGTTGGTGACATGCTCTTCTCAGTCTCACTAAGAACACCACAAAGATGGCTTGTGGCAACATAATCGTAACACAGCCTCCTGCCAAAGATCCCAAAACAAGCCCAAAGAACTATCCTAAGTCCAGAAAAGCCATCCACCAAAACAAACAATGTTAGGTTGTTATGAATGAGTGAGACTGTTTTCCATTTGATAGTCAATTTGCAAGTGATAGCAAGTTGAAATGAAATACAGAGTTTCTTGGTAAGTTTCTCAACCTGAGCACTATTGGTATCTTTGATAATTCTTTCTTCTGAGGACCCTTCTGTGCATCATTCCCGCCTTCTAACGATTCAGTCTGAATAGTACCATACCTTGGCATTTTCCCATAATTGCTCAGAACCCATCACAGTCTCCAAGCCTTCCCAAAGGTTATTTAGTATCTAATTAAGAATATTTTAGAAAATCAATAACTAGTCAAAATGTTTATTCAAGTATTCTACCTTCAATATATTGTCACTCTTTTTTGTTTTCCATATTTATTTACTGAATCTATAATTATTCTACATTAAATATAAATCACATTTTTAAGAAGGAAAAAACTCCACTTTTTAAAAAGTTAAAGAGAATATAATGCCATGAATTTTTCTTTTACTTTCCAAAGAGAAGAACAAACTGGGGGAGAGGGGGGCATTGGGCAGGGTGTAAAGGGCACCAATGAATGGATGGAAATCCAAAGTCTCTGTAACTTCCATTAAAAGTAACAATTTAAAAAAATGATTTTTTTTTAAAAAAATCAGCTCTTTCTCTCTTTCATGGTGGTTGAGTTGGAATCTACACATAGTTGCCACTCCTTTGGGTTTCTGAGTTTGTAAATCACAGAAGAGAAGACTGTCTATCTTTCTCCCAAGAAGTTGCTGGTAGATTTGAACCACCAAAGTATTGCAGTTCCTTATAGGGAAAAATTGTTGCCATCAAGTCAGAACCACCTTACAGCTGGCCTTCCAGTGTATTTTCAGAGGTAGTAAATCACACAGGAGGAGAAGGAGGAGATTGCCCATACTTCTATGGAGCAGCTGTTGAATTCAAACTGTGTGCTGCTGAGATTGCACTGCAGCTTCTTAGTACTAGGCCACCAGAGCTCCCTGCCAAAACTACTAGAGGTCTTTACATTTTTCTAAAGAAAAAGTATTCTTTTTAAGGTCATTTATCTTAGCTTCTTCCCTGTGGCTTAGAGGGTGGTAAATATGTAGGGTGAATTGTAAATAGTTTGCTTTGTGTATGCTACACATCTAACAAGATAAAAGCAGTGGTCAGAAAGAGAAATATCTATATCCTTGCAAACTTTGAAGACCACCTATAGTTTAAGGAATCTTGGTGGAATAGTGATAATGTGTTAGACTGCTAACCAAGGAGCTCTTGGTTCAAACTCATCAGCCACTCCACTGAAGAAAGATGGGTCATGTCCTGCTGTAAAGATTTAAATCCTTGGATATCCAGCTGAGGTTTGCTGAATCAGAACAGACTTGACAGCAGAGAGTGTGTTAAGCGA